GTATTACCGTGGCACGGTATTTTCGGTAACAACGGTAATTACCAAAGCACGGTATACCGGTATTCTGAAATGCCGAAAATACCGGATACCGAGATTTTTTAAATACCGGTAATTACCGGTATACCGAAAATACCGCCAGCCCTAGGTACTACAAAATAGTTGGAAGAATAAATCGAATTCTCCGTTAAAGAATAAGTATTTACAGGCACTGGTAAGGTGACTTTTTTTCTGACCCAAAAAGTGATAATTGACAGATTTTAGTTTGTTTAACACACGTGCGCCATTGMAAAATAGATTGGGGCGATCAGAGTCTCAAAAATATTAGAAAACAAATAGATATTCCGTAGTCTATCACCTATAATTATGTATAATTATGATAATTCTGAAAATAGCACAGATCATATTTTTATCTGTGTTAATACCACAGATTATATTAAATTATATTTAAAAAAAATTCTAAAATTATATTCACTGCGGTCTTTACTGTCGACATTAGATTTTAAGAATGATAAGATGCGTTTGATAATAATAATAACGAGAGAAAGAAGTTCTTTAGACTCGTAGTTTAAGTGGTTTAAAAATTGTGTCCAACTAAAGGTTGAAGAAGTTATCAACAAAACTGCATTATATTCAAGAAAATTGGACTAAGGTTTGTAACAACAACATGGACTAGTGTTATATTTATGATAAATTATAATTTCCTTTAAATGTGATTGCGTTAATTCGCTTTACTATAAAAAATTAATATTGACCCAAAAATTGGGAATGATTAATGCAATATTATAGATACATTTTAATCGTTTGTATTTTAACCAATACATTCTGTTATCATTTTGAAGATAACTTTCAAATTGTATGTAAAAAAATACACTTAATACATTAAAAATAAAAAGTACCTACCAATATACACAGAAAAGGAACAAAATAAAACTAGGTAGAAGCGTAGATATTTAACATGACAAAAAAAAATTATATTTATCTAAATGAACATCATCGTATAGCTAGTTAAGTGAAGGCGATTGAACAATTTTTTTGATGATTTCTCAATTTATTAAAGCATAGGTACCTATATATTATTATAATGGCTTGTTTGTTTTACGTTTTACGTTGATTTATTCACATTATATAATATTTATAAACAACATTATATCGTACAAGTTTATTACTCTACGAAATTACACCAACTGCCGCACATGTATGGTATTATAATTATTATTGTAGTATTATAATTTATAAGAGAATATTCACCTGTACCCGGTGCTCGACTTGTTGGGGGGGGGCAGGGGGACGGAGTACCCCAACTAATTATTTATAAATTTCAGAGTACCTTTATTTTTATTTTTAAGGGGAACGCATGGGACGCTATAAATCATGCGATCATTGCCATCATTCTGAATTTTTAATTTTTATTAAAATGTACGTGATAAGTGATAACATATATAAATAAATAAACCTAAATAAATAGTTTTTTTTTGTCTTGTTTCGATTGTTTTTGAGTTTGTTATATTTTATTTTATAAGTTAAAAATATAATACACAATATTATAATATTTACATAATTTTTTTTTTTTWAATTTAATTATTCATAAATATTTCCTATATGATTTAAAGCGKTGTGGTGTGGGTGTGTAGCCCCCACGGCTTTGTAACGTTTAACAAGCGGCGGGGACGCTCTTTTTTTTAAAGTTAACAGAGTCCCCCTACTTTAATTTTGTCAAGTCGAGCATTGCCTGTACCCAACACAACACCGGATTTGAGTACCTAATACCTACACACTATTTACACTTTCAAGTTCCAAGTTCTATACCACGATGCTGGGATCAATGATCATAGTTGTCGTCAGGAAACGGCGCACTGTTCCGTAATTCGTAGACGGCATTAGTATTTTTATAGTTACCATTATGTCGGGAATTCGATGCCAGTCAAAACACATTGTTTTGGATCGGAATGTCGTGTGGGTCCAGTGGCGCAATCGGTTAGCGCACGGTACTTATAAGACAGTAGTCGTGAGCAATGCCGGGGTTGTGAGTTCGAGCCTCACCTGGACCATGAATTTTTGTCGAATTTTTCTGGCGATGTACGAAACCGGTCGCCTTTGAACGTATTAATAATATCTATCGTCTGTTCAACTGCGTGTTTAACTAATGACTTGTTCCACGTCATAATACAATTATTAAAAACATGTGACACATAGAAATAATAATACACGTCTATGATGTTTGAATACGTCGTCATAATCAATATTATTATTAACCATTTTTTCTTTAAATATTGATTAATGTTTTTTTTTTGGATTTTATTGATATGAAAAAAACACGGATTATTGTTTGAATTGCACACTTCATAGTATTATAAAATTTTTTTTTTCAACGGGTGTGCTAAAATTTTGAATAACTAGGTATGTTAAGAATTTCTATTGTATTGTTTTGGAAATCAACCATTCCATATACAGCGTAATTTCATATTTTTTATTTAATTAAAAATGAGCGCAACTAAAAATAAAACCATCTAAAAACTAACGGTTTGAGAATTAATGTTTATTACATTAAATGGAAGTAATATAAATTCTATAAAGTATATTAAGTTATATTAAGCATATTTATTATAGTTATTAATTTTCTATATTACTGAAACATTTAAATGTACCTACTACTACTGATCTACCACTTGCTTAAAAAAAAAAAAAAACTAGTTTAACAAAATCCATATATATATATATATATAATGAATTAATGAATATAATAATCTATGCATGTATATCTCAGATGCTAATTTATATATTTTAAAATTGGTTAGTATTTGTAATAGAGCGGTATAGAATCAAAAATGCATCAGACATTAAAAGATAATATTTTTTTTCCTGTTCAAAAACCAGGAACGGATGGGAACTGTTCATCACAATACTGCCACCCATTCCTGTTATAATACTTATAAGTTATAACCAACAATGTGGTAGAAAAATGTGTGATCTGTTTGACAATTTTAACTGAAGCATTTTGCTTTTGTAATTGGAGGTTCACGTGAGAAAAAATGAGTTATTAATTACCTAGTTATTAGTTTATTACGCAGACGGATTGCACTTCTCGGGTTTATTTGTCTTTGGGAAACACTAATGTTCAATACAAAATTAAATTTAACAAAATTTAGGCATAGGGTTTTAATGTTGTAAATAGTATTATATTATACCATTTTAGAAACTTTGTGACTGAGAGAACTAAAATATTAAATTCGTATTTTTTCATGCTGTGGCGATTTGTGGTCATTCAGCCATTTAATTATTATGTAATTTTATTATTACACGTGCAGTTATAACTTATAATTGTAGTGTATTGCCTGTAGATACATATAGTTGAAATAGTTGTATTGATGCGTGATTCTTAGTTGAAAATAATATATTCATGCATTTTTTTGGGTTACCAAACAAGACCAAAATTCAGTCACCAAGATAATCTCAATGGACACGAAAGAAATGACAGCTGCTTGGCGAGACATAAAATCAAGTCCTCGATAGTACAAGCAGAAATCGATAGCGATAGACAGCGGTCTAATATCGATGATGATAATGTCGTTAATAAAAACAACAATAACAGTAATAATAGCCAATAGGCATGATATATTTTATTTCAGTAATAATAAATATCTATAACGTTCATCAATCACGCCTGGCAATYTTCAGACGATGAAACTTTAAACTGCCAATCCACACATCCAGCAATCAATATACGTATTATACCTATATATAATGGCTGACGGATAACGTTTCAACTGTCGTTAAACGCGTAATTGAATAGTCTCTCCTTTTTAAAACGCTCATCCGATCTGTATGCGCGTGGCTCCCCGGTCATCGACAATTATTTTTACTTTTGTTTTTCCGAAAACTATTTTTTCAAACGAAAAGCTATTTGTTTTGTTTTGGGCTCATCTCTGGACTGATTAATTCGTTTATTTTCAATGCTAATCGTTTTCTTTTGTTTTTCAAAACTACTGTTCAGCTAAACAATTCGTCATAATTTTTATTTGTCAGGTTATCTTAATTGCGTCATTATTATTTATGTTTACTGATTAGGGGATTGCAATACGTACATATCGAGTGTATGTAGTACTATGTACATACAGATGGACGTCTTTAAAATGTAAATTATTATATCGTATTATCAGAGAAAATGTTTATCTCCACCCATCCAAGTCATATTTATATATATATTATATACTGCTGTAAATATAATATAAATGTGTATTGGTAAATTAATTGATAAATCAAGTTGCAGCAGAAAGCTTGTAGTAACCTTAAGATAATGTATTAATGTCCATTACCCTATATAATAATCTACCATTACATGCACTATAATATCAATACATCATATTATACGCGATATAATCGATTTTCATGATCGTATTCCATGTTTAGTGCAATTTAATATTATAGGCAAATTATTCGTTAAACAAACTCAATAAAAAATAGAAACAAAGCTAATRTTGCCAATTCTTTCAAATACAAGAATTAYATAAGAATTTTTAAAATACTTAAAGTTCCATTTAACGTGTACTGTGCGACTTTACTGACAATAATATGTCGATGTATCCGATAGATTACGTTACGCATGACTACGCACTAAAATTTTTGACATCAGATTTAAGTTTGCCTTTTTGGGTTCTTTATTATCGCTGACTTTACTCTGTATTTTTTTTAAATATTTTAAACTTCYTCGAAGTTAAATCTGGCATAATAGTTAATTTCAATAATATGTTATTACATCGCGATTAATKCAAAAACTATATGATTTAGTTTTGTGAAATTTTCCTCGTGATATTGAATATTTTTCATCGATATATTTTGAAGAAAGTTGTGCGTTATACATTTATACCTACTTTAATATTTAAAGAGTGTATTAGTAGTTAGTACAAGCATTTAACGTATCGCATAATATTTGTATAGGATTCGAAATGCAATGCAATACAATATAATAATAATTAATAATAATGTTTAAACGGTTGTTTCAGGTTTTCTTTTCATCGCAAATGTCTTATCCGCGTACGTCTGTCGTACCTACTTTGCGTCCGCTATAACCGCAAAAAAATGAACGTAGTCAACCGACCACCACTGCAAGTGAAATCGTATTTTTAAAAAAAAAGCTAGAMAATTATTGATCAACTGCGAAAACACAAGGCGACGTGTAAAAGGAAAACGAACCCACCAACCCCGTGGTTCGACCATGCCACCGTCACCGCTGCTGTTGATGGCACTGATGACGATACTGCCGCCACTTCTGGTGCTGTTATTTTTTAACGCGGCCGCAGTAAGTTCTCAGTTGGCATGGACACAAATCTACGTCGGTTCCAACAGTAAGTCCGTTATTATAATATTTTTGTTCTGATAACTGCACTCGCATAGTTAGACCTATTAACATACCAATAAATTATAATATACCCATGTCCCATAATATAGTAAGTTATATTGTACAATTAATACATCCGTAATATTGGTTGATAATAAGACGCATACAATTATTAAGATAATATGTACAGTARAGCCTCGATAGTCCGGACCCCCGATAATCCGGTGAACGCGGTWATCCGGACGACAAAATTCCATTTGTTCGTAAATAAATTTTATGAGAATTCCCGCAACCCAATTAATGCATAAAATATTGTTATCTTCAAATACAATTTYGTTATTTTTATTACCTACTGTTCCTAGTAAAGACTTATACATGTATGTAGGTACGTAATAATAGTGAAATAATAGTGAAATAGTAGTGAAATTCAAAATAAAATCTTAGTAGTTTTAGTAGGTAATTTTGAAAAACCTCCGGTAATCCGGAAAAATTGATAATCCGGACGATGCTCGATCTGAATTCGTCCGGACTATCGAGGCTCTACTGTATTATGATGTCACGTATATATCTCGACACACTGGCACACACGAGTGAACTGGGTGTCAAGAGGCCCGGGAGATTAATCAGTAGTTGTTAAGGTCTGGCATTTAACCTATAACCACATGGCTATAGATATACACATATATATTTTTAGAATTACTTAAAAATATCTATGCCTATTATATAATCAACCAACACAACATTATATTATGTAAAATTAAACAATTGTAAACTTGTAATAGCATATTATAATATGCTGAAACATTTTAATATATTAAATTAAAAAAAAAAAAATATATATTTTTAGAGACATTTTATATTTTATATGATAAACGTTTTTAACCAATAGTTAAATAAATTCAACTGGTGTTTTGCCATTATATTTTAAATTATAAATAATTTTTATTAATATGAAATTATCAAGGGCCCACGAGGCAATAGCCCCCTCGCCACCATGGTCAGTTCCACCCTACTGACTCACATCTTATCTGTAATAATATTTTTAATTTCATAATTTTAATTTTTGTTAAACGATATATATACAAGTTTGAATTTTATATGAAATAGATCTAAATCAGTGGCTCCCAACCGATGAAGGGGAATTTAGAGTCTTTTCGGGGAAGGGGGGGGGGGTTATAGTAATGATGAAATTACGAAATATAATAAAAAATAATAAAAAATGTAATACCTATAGGCTATAAATAATTACGTTATTTTACAATGGAAATTTTTGTAGAAATCTATTCCAAGATATTTTGTATATGCGAGGTTGGAATAAAGATATTGTTAAATACAATTTTAGGGGAAATTCATCGTGTTTAAGAATAAGAGTGATGTGGCTAGATTGTCAATTTTAACTTTTCAGCTTTGATATTATGAATTATGATACGAGGTTTYATAAGAAAAATATGAAATTGTAGTAGGTAAAAAAATATGGTGATATGATTTTTGAGAACTGAGAGATTTGATTTCTCGTAGTTGGCATATTCAGCGACAAAAGTGTTAGGAAATGTGGATTGATCAGTTACAAAGCGTAGATGTATTAATGGTGTAGTAGGAGCTGTTATCCCGTAATGGCACCTTGAGGATCTCCAGATTACATGTAATAACATTTAAATTAGTAAACATAAGCAAATGGAAATGATCCTTATCCGGTTGAAAAATTAAAACCATTAAGATTCTGTTATTAGATTTGTCTTTTGAATTAAAATATGTATATTTTCATATTTCATGTGTCAAAAATTACACGTWATACCGATGATATCTGCAGATATTATTTTRATTTTTATAACAAATTGTACACAAWACAATATAGGTATAAAAGTATACAATGACCATTAAAATTATAATTATATTTTATTAATATACAWAAGCAATATTAAAATATCATGWTACAAATCATGTGCCTGTAATATATAATGGTTTTATTTTGTTAATTTTTGTTCTAATGATTTTATTCTTGAAATATATTTATAATAATATTACATCAGGTTTCATCTTTATTAATTATTATTAAAATAAATATTTGAACACTTTATAGTATAATTTAATACACTGTATAAATTTGTTTTATTCTTTGGTATTCATATTGCATTTCAAAGTTAGATATTAGAGTAACCGAACTAATTGAAAACGCGTATTATTATATTACTATGCAACAAAGATCAACATTTACCATCCACCCACCAACCACCCTATAATACACCCAATTACCACTATCATATTTTATATTACTTCATCCAATATTATGCTAACTTTAGGTAGTAATAAAATTACCTAATGGTAAGTGTCATGCACTCATGCATAAAACCAAATTTTAATGTACATAGCTATTTATCTATCCTCAAGCTCAAGCACCGTATACAATGTATCAGTCAAACTATACCAAATTCTGCAGGATAAAAAACACACAACCCTCCTCCTGGAAAAACCGAGGTTTATGATGCCTTCGTTATTTTTAATCTCAATTATATCATATTACTTAATAGTAGGTATAACACTATCTGAATTACTTATACAAATTTTACTACGGTAATTAATCCATCACCTCATATGTAATACAATATAATATATCATATATGTTRTAATATATTCTATAATTTATTATTATATACCTTCCTAATTATTTTTAATTATTATTTTAAATCAAGATTAATAATTTACTCATAAGAATTTAGAAGTAATAGAATACCCACCCCACCTGCGTTATTTTTACCGGTACCAAATTTTTTTATTGGTCTTCATTTTATATTTATATTAATATCGCTCATTTTAATACTATCTAATTATTATTATTTACAATATTATTATATTATGTTTGCTTTCAGCTCTATAACTTATTGATTTGTATTAYTAACGTCATAATATCTTGTGATTGTTGAGATTTAAATAAAATCYAAACAAACATAATATAATTAAACAACTTTAAGTATTTTAACGAAGGACATTAAKGTAGTATAAATAAGTGRGCACTGTGTAAATTATATATATGTGGCTGATCMAAAAAAATACTTATAACATGGTCTTATTTTTTAATTATTTKATTTATTAAACAAGAGTTTTTAGATTTTGAAACGTAAAAATAAGTATTCAGTWTCAAAAAATTTCGAATATCCCGATTTTTATTTCATTTACGGTTTTTTACTTTTTACTATAAAAAGTGCGAAAGTTATAWAATGAAAATTCAAATTTATAAAAGTTTAGGTAAGAGAAATGTCGWGGTTCTCTAGTAATTTGTACTTAATTAATGTTGTTTACAATGTATTAAAATGATTAATATTATTTTAAATATTGAGTGTTTAATGTAAAGCGAGATCAAGCCGGATTGGAGTCTAGAACGAAGAACCTTACCCAGAACAATCCTTTTATCGGCTCATTTATCTCAGAAGATATTTTAGCAAACGGYCCATGTATCATAATAATCTTGAGCTACGCTTAGCGCGGTAGCTTTCYGGCCCAATCTGAGTCTGAGCGAGACACACGGCAAATAATATGATATAATAGATATTAATCTAATAATAAAGAAATTAATCTGTAATAATATACCCGATGAAATGATTACTTAATAATAAATAATAAATTCTAAAAATTATGATTTTATTCTGTAATCACACAAAACTGAAGAATTGGATACAGCATTCCTAATGTAAAATTTGAGTAAAAATGATTATATCCCTATTCTCTGTGTTTTTAATTTTATCTATTTGTTATGAAATTGCTACTATATGGAATAGTATAGGATAGGAAAATGGGTAAATATGTTTAATGAAAACTATTTTAATTATAATTTATAATGTGTATCATACTATATCTTCATATCGTGTTAAATATGATACCATATTATTTAAATATTTGTTTATTTTATACTCACCGTTATTGACATACTTCTATAAAAGCTGTTGAAAATAAAATAAATGCATGTAATACGTAAATAAGAAATTTTCAAAAGTTCAAACATTTTTTAGGTTGGCCATTTCTTACCTGTTACCATTTTATAAACTTAGGCGTAATTCAACTRATTTAAATGTATTATACTTTGTATATTTTGGTTATTTGACTGTTGTAGTTTAATTTAATTTTTGTTTATCCCTTTTATTCTGTATACATGGTTTGCTAAGCTTAGTAATAGAAAGAGGTTTTTTCAACCACTGCTCTGTCGTCAATTAAATTAAAAACAAAAAAGGAAACATTACGCGGTAGTGGCTACAAGTTAATGCACTCAACCTGTCGCCCTCGCAATGTCGAGTTTTAATTCCGGTCGTCACGTACGTCAACTCGGAACCACCCTTATTCCGGATATCATCGTAAATTATAAATCTATACTGGCCGGGTACGGGTTTTCATTATTATTTAAATATATTAAAGTGTCTTGTTTATGATGATACCATTAGAAAGCATTATCGTTTTTTTATTATTCAAATATAAATTATGATAGAATTAACTATTAGTAACTCTAGGAACCTATGTAATTTGGTATTTGCATCCAATACTTTAGTTTTGTCATTATTTAAAGATTATTTAATCGGGGTAATTCGATATAAAGTTAGGTAAATATTTATTGTGTAAAATAATACATATCTTACAGATTTGTATTCATGTTGACAGAACGCTAGTAACTATTTTAAGTATTAAAAAAAGTTATCTTTGCGTACCTACTAATTTAAATAAATATATTATATATTATATATATAATATATTTTATATATATTATATATTTAATTAATATATATATATAAGTATTTTGAAATATAATTTTTAATTTAATGTATTTAAAATTTCCAAAAGTAGCCCTTAAAATACTTAGATTTTTATACCATTGTAGGAGTGTTCTGTTTAGGCAATAGCACTTTTTTATGAGAATTATCCTTTTTCCTATACATTTTTAATTGAATGACTTTTTGAAAATGTTGATGTATCTTAATCAATATTCAAACGAGTATAAAAAATAGCAAAAAAAAAAAAATTTAA